CATCCCAGCCCACAGGGCATCACGCTCAGCAGATGGAGTTGTGGCAGGACAGTAGGACAAATAAGAATGAACATGCCTCTCTCTGTAAATTTGTTTGTACAATAATCTAATCATTGACTCAAACAACAGCATTTTTCATGGCTTCCTTTAGATGTTCAAATTTTAGCCAGGAACTGACACACTACCAAAGAGCTTCACAAACTGGGTGCCTTCAGAGTTCAGCAGCTCTGTAGCTGCTTTTGGCCTTTGTTAAGCTGTCTCTTCCCATTTGCACTCCAGATCTGAGCTGTGTGCTGTGCATTCTATTTAATTACACAGTGACAGGATGCATGAGGCACTAGGCCCCGTCAAAATTTGAAGAAAGGCAATCCCTGAGGACAGGGATTCTGCTCTTCCTCCTGAAAGGCTGCTCTTTCTCACCTAATTCAGGATTTTTGGTGCTGCCACATAAAGCAGTTGTCCTGTGTCAGCTTGCTCCTCTCAGCACTGTGTTCTCTTGTCAGCTTGGATGTGAGAACTTTTCTACTCACAGTAGTTTTACTACTGCTTTTATTTGTGCCAGCAAAGAGTTTTTGATATTTCAGCTCCCTGTCCTCCTTCCCAACAAATACATATACTGTCTTAAAAGGAAAAAAAATGTTGAGACAAAAAGCAACATTTTACTCCTCAAATGAATCCTAGACAACAAAGATCAGGAAAAATGCCTACATGTGAAAAAAAAAAAAGAAAAAGCTCTTCTCTGACCCTTTTAGCATGTCAGGAATTCACCTTGTTCAGTGTGGCATGTCTTCACAATTAGGGCTCAGGCTCCAACATGGGCACCAAAGTGGGAGGGATAACATGGGAAGCTGGATTATTCTTAGGACCTTGCTCAGCGCTGCTGGGTAGAGAACATCCTTACAGCAGCTGCAACATCTTCCATTGCCTCCTGAGCCAGTGACAGGAGCTGGGCATGAGAACTCTGGATTGATAGCTGTCTTCTGCTGGAGTTGAGGATTGCAGGAAAATCAGGACAGGGGATTTTTCTAAGTTTTAGGGTGGTTTTTGTCAAGATGGCCTTTGGAGTCCAGAGTTAGTACTGATGCATATCCAGGATGACTTAATACAGGCCTGGCTATTTTGATTTTGTCTCTCTTATGACTTCCACAACATTGGGTTTGAATTCCAAACATTTGCTACTGCCACTCTGAGCCCCTGTGTACAAATAACCATTTATATTAATCCCTGAACTACTTCAGCTAATAAGCCCCAAATCCTTCAACTGAAATTCAACTCTGAAAACATCAGTTCCAGTGCTCTCCCACTTCCAGCTGTGGGACCCAGTTGCAGGGAGATCAATGAGAACCTAAGCATAAATATATGTCTGCAACACAGGAAGTGTTCATAAGAAGGTCACTGGCTCTCTCTAAAATGCTTCTGCCTTTGGGCTCTGATCAAAGCTGCTTTTGCAGAATGTTATGAGAAACATTTAAAGAAAAAAATTAAAGAGAAAACAAAAAAATTCCTTCTTTATTTTAGATGAGACACATTCTTTCTCTGGAAAAGGTGCTTCCTGGCCAAGGGTAACCCAGAACAATTTCCTGAGTTAAAGGCTTCCACTTTTGGCCATATGCTTGCTTTAGAAATGCAGCAACAACCAATCCTGGTGAAAGCCACACTGACATGAGTGCCACTGCCTGCTTTAAGTGGAAACTCTCTTTTTTTGAAACTGAAGAGCATGTGGGTGGGCAGGATGGAGAAGGGTGGAGAGGTTTAGTCCCTGGTTGTCATTCTTTAGGTGTGACCACAATGCTGCAATCTTTGGAACGCAGCTGGACAGAAAGGATGAGGAATGCCCCTGCCTCCCTTGGGGAAATAATCAGCCTGATGATGCCAGGAGCTGTGATTTACCTCTGCAGGAATGTTGCCACCTGCAGCAATTAAATCTCTGCTATAGTATGATTAAACAAGAGGATATTTCCCCCCAGAAACTGCCAGATCAGTGTTTCCTGCAAATGCCTCTGACAAGAAAATGAATGCAGTGAGGAGTGCTCAGAATGGGGCACTGCAGCTGTCCTGGGAGCAGGAGAGGGAGGCAGAGCTTGACAAAATTGGGTGAGCCTGACAGCTCCATCACCAGTTTCCCCAGACAAATCCATTGAGAAGTTAAAGGAGCTGAAACTGTCTGATCTCTGTGTTATCATCCACTTTCTCTGCCTTGGTGGACAGACACCAAAGTGCATCTGTAAAACCACTGCTGGATGCATTTTGTTATTCCACATACCACGAGCAGACTTCCCAACAAAATCCAATAGCTTCAGTTACATACCAGAAGACAAAAGAACCACAGTGTAGCCATGGATTCATTTTCCCCAGACTTTTGTAAAGCCTTTTAAAGCTTGTTTAGGATCTCCCTCAAAACAAAGCCCTTGAGTCAACAGAAACTCTTGCTTAGATATGCTTCATCTGTTCCTTTTTATGAATATGCACTATCAAAGGGTGACAGCTTTCACAGTTAAGCAAACACAGCTACACAGAGCACACTTCTCCCACAAAAGGTCAGATAATACAACATGCTAAATGTTAAATACACACAGGAGGGATGTGTTCCCCTTGAGCACACTGCAATGGGGAGTTATTTAGGAAAATATTGTCCATCTTTTCAGGACAACCTGTAAAGTGTCTTTGCAAAGATCTTACCTGTTCAGTGATGAAGGAGCTGGAAAAAGTGACAGCTGACCAAAAGAAGATGCCACAGCTGAGAATGATCTTCCTGTTGAAGCGGTCACCAAGGTAACCAAAGATCGGCGCCGCCACCATGAAACTACAGATAAAAACTGCAAAGGAGAGAAAAAGGAAAATACATTTAATAAACATCAGACCAAGAACAGGAAGACTAATTTTCTGCAAGCCAAATATCCTCTAGAGAACAGTCCCAAATAATTAGACATTCTGCAGCCCTGCCTTGCAGAGCTGTGCAGGCCAATAGGCTTTCTGAAGTCGGGGCTTCCTTAATCAAACAGATTTTTCATTCCCAGAGAAACTTCAGGCCAGGGAACTCGGATTACTTGAAAGCACCAGCCCCTCACAGTCTGACTGGGGATGGGCAAAACCAGGACAGAATAAATTAAGAGCTTCTGCTTAAATGTTACTGAGAAGGTGAAGTGGAGGATGGAAGGAGTTTCAAGCAAACAGAAAACAAGGGAAGGGCTCCTGTTGGCTCTGCAGCAGAGACCTGAGAGAAATGGGCCACAGAACCTGAGGCTCTTTCATCCTTGCATCCTTCCAATTTTAAAGAAATTGTGCAACAGTGAGGAACACCATTAAACACCACTATCATCCTACTGACACCAGCCCTGTCTCCTCACTAGGTCCTTTCACCATCACTAAACTTGTATTTAAACCATCACTGAGCAGCAGCTTCACTAGAACCAGGAGTTTTAACCTACAAAGTCCAAATGGGCCAGGATTCTCCTCATCTGAAAGACTTCAAGTTCACAATTTGTTCCCTCCAAAATCCCCAAAGCATTAACCTAAGAGACCCTGTCATGTAGGAATGAGGCTCTTGACAGAGAAACTTCTGCAAAATCACCTCAATTCAGAGTTCACTCCTCTGCCCATCTCAGAACGATCTGAGAACACCTGAAATGGGGCATTCACACCATGTCCCTTATTAATTTGGATTTTGGCAGAAATTGCCATGTTTTAAGCTGATTTTTACCTGGCTTTTGTCTGTCCCCATTAGAGAATTGGATAAGGGCAATTACATGGATTTCACTGGTGTGCAGAATGAACTCTGACTATAACTGGCTGTCTGGGATTCAGCAAATCCAGAAGGATTTGAGTAGGACACCAGAATACCTGGGGGTCTCTCTTTAGTCACACAGTCCTGACACTCATTTGTTATCAGGTGGGTCTTGGAGGGCACTGTGGGCTTTTGGCACAGCCTAACCCCAGCTGTCCACTTTGCATTGTATAAAATAAGGTGGGGGGATAGAATAGGTAAAAAAAGAAAGGACAAAAGCAGAGGACACACCTCCTTTTGGGTGGGATGTGCATATAAAATTAAAATGGTTAAGACCCAAATAATGAATTTTTCATGGATGATGATATATGGTAGTTCAAAAATGTGCAGAATGCTGATCTATAACTAAATGTCTTTTTTTAGTATATTAAGATGTCAAAGCTGCTTTATAAATAATACGCATTCATTTGCATCTGTGTTTTGTGATGCATGTGAGTGTGTGTGTGTATTTTGCACTGTGATAATTGAACTTAATTTCTGGATTACTCTTTTTACATTTAGAGTAAAATAAATCAAGATAACAGAGAAATGTTAAGGCCTGAAATGCAGCACATGCAACATATCACACATTCTTCAGTAGTAATGCTATGAACAATTTTGCTGTTTACCTCACACATAAACCCCACTGACAGAACTCAGTCCCTGCATCTATCCCAAAATCCTTGTGCAAACAAAACCTACCAATAAAACTACAAGCAGTGTTCTCATCTCTGTTTCCCAGAGAAACTGGACCAGCAGCAGCTCACAAATCTCTGCTCAGCAAGGGCACATCTGCACTGGCCCCACTCCAGCAAGGCACTTAAGCACATGCTTATATTAGGCACTTCAGAGTCATCAATTCCATGATTAAGTGCTTTCCTGAATTAACACCAAGGGCTTGGCACCTTGCAGGGCTGGTGCAACAACCTGGCACAAAGGATGTGTGGCTGTTCATTGGGAATGAGAAGCAGAAAATGACTGTGACTCGTCCAGACCAGGGTAAGCACTGCAATTTGATCTTTCTCTTGGAAGGACACTACAATTCATTCATCTCAGACCCTCATTTTCTGCCATTTTTACAATGTAAAAAGGCACAAAACTGAAAAAGCTTCCAAGGGAAAATTAGAAACATCCAAGTCAGCATTCCAAATGTCAAATAATATGGTTAATTCAACTTTGAGACACACAGGGTGTCATTCAAAACTTATATTAATCAGTGGGATTATTAGCTTCAATGACCTCTGGATCATAAATGAAAAGTCTAATTCTGGAATCTGGGCAAAATGGACAAAGCTACTCTTTCAAATAAAACAAACCAAAGAAAAATTGTCCAATGACTTTCCAACAGTATACATCCTTCTGCTGCTCAAATCCCTCTGGAGGATTTATTTTTGGAAGACTCTGAGCTGTGAGCTTTGTCAGTGGTAAGCAGCTGACTTGACAGCTCCACAAGGTGTAAAATGAAAGGACAACAGAGCCAAATAAATAACAGGTAATAGAACACAGCTGTCACAAGAATAAATGCAATTTATATCAAAGTATTTATGACCCAAATATGCATCAGAGCATTGATTGACTCAAATAAATGCAGGGTATGATGGCTGTGTGGTCTGTCAAAAGGATTTTCCTGTTAGAGGCATTTCCCATGAATCAATTTTTGCAATTACTCCTGCCAGTGACAGCCGAGGCTCCTGAGCCCAGCCTGGGCTGGCAGAGCTGAGGTGAACAAAAGCAGGGCCCGTCCCCAGGTGGGATGGAAACCTGAGTTACTCTGGCACAGGAGGTTATGTGAGGTTCTGTGACAATAAACACCACAAAGGACAGACCTCATCCACAAGGCACAAAACTGTTTGTATGTTTTTACAAAAAACAATTGGACAAAACCCTGTAAGAATACTGACTGAAAGGCTGCTGAAGGGAGCTCCTCTTGTTCAGGACATCCTCAGTGGGAGAGAGGGGCAGCAGGAATGTTTAACCTGCAGGCAAGAGGGCTGAGCATCAGGCATTAGGCATAAGTTGCACTCCAGTAAAGGAGCCTGGAACTTGTGCCAGCCTCTTCCTCTCTGGCTTCTCTCCCTTCTTCCACAGCACTTTCTGTTCCTTGCACTCCCCCACTCCCAAATTAATAAAACTGAAGTGACACCACAGCAGCTGCTGCTTCAGCTCAACCACAGCCACAAATCTTTTCTATTAGGGCAGCAGTGGGACAGAGGTTGGCACTGCACTTTCCTCTTCCCAATCAACAGCTCCTCTTCCCATTTTCACTTAGAGACATCCTAGAATATCACAGCTCTTGAAGAGACACAGAGTGCAAGTCAGGGCAGGGTTAGAAACCCACTGGGATTTAAGATGAGCTACTGTGAGGCAGTGATGGCACTGGGAGCAGGCACAGCTCTGGCAGTCCCATTATGGATGTGTTCAGCTCATTTCTCCTGGTAAATGATCTCCAGCAGTGCCAGCAAAAGTGCCTCAGTCCCAGCACAGGGTGGAGCTGAGATCCATTTCTGCAGGAGTCAATTATCATGTGAGCAAGGGATGAATAAACAGACACACAGTGAATGCCATCAGGGAGGGAGGTTCTTTTAAGTACAGGTATTTTCAAAAGGAGAACCCATTTGTCTTTATTCCTCCCTTTGTGGCTTAGCCACTGAAACACTGCCTGTGGTGAGAAGGCAGGAAGAGTGTAATTGCCCAAACAGGATGGCTTGGTGTCTATTTCTGCCTCTGGATGCCTGTCCCACCCTGTACAGGTGCACAAGCACTTTCTCAGCCAGCACTGCCCAGCTTTTTCTGTGCGTGGCTGGAATTACAACAATGTGCAGCATAAAAAGCCTTACACGTCCCACCCAAACACCCACCAGACAGGGAAATCATCCTCCCAAGCCTCTACTGCTGCTGCAGGTGCTGCAGCTCCAGTCCTATTTCAGGATTATGGCCAGGGAGCTGCTATTCAGACACACTTTCCCCTCTCAGGAGCTGCCTGTGTACCCAGGGGAAAAGTAAATCCAACAGTGGAAGCAAAGGAGATGAGAGAAGAGGAACGAACTGTAAACTTTATATTTAACACTCACAAAAAGCTCCTGCTCCTGGAACTAGACACCATCACTTTTATTTTTCTCTTCTTTCTCTCCAAACAAAAACTTTACCAGCTTGACATTACAGCTGTTCCCTGAACAGGCTCTGACCTGCCAGCTCTGCACCCTGTGATTCCAAAGACACTTCCCTCCATCTCACTTGCTCTTTTCTTTAGTGAACTTTTGTTTAGTGGACTTATCAACCCAGAGATAACCCCAGAGAGGGCTTCTCCTGCCAGCAGGTCATCCACAGAGCAGAATCAAGAAGGAAGAGAGGCAGTGACAGAGCCACACACAGGGGCTGCTGTTCCTCAGTTCCTGGAAGGTTGAGCAGATCACAGGCACCTCTGAAAAAAGGTCCCTTCTTTTGGTTTTGACTTTAAGCACACAGGGCTTATCTTTTCCTGTCAGATATAATGCTAGAAAGGTTCAGGGTCAGGTGAAAATAGCTTTCTCTACACAAGGATGCTCAACAAAAAAACCCTAGTGGGTCTCTTTGAGTCAGCAGAAATCGTGTGTACACATCTGATTGAGTGCTGACAGTGAGCTTGGCTCTGTGGAAGGCAAACCCAGACAGCCTCTGCCTCAAGGGACTGGCATCCACTGAGACACTGCTGAGAACTATGTGCTGAGAGCTTGATAACATCTTCCCAACAACAAATTTCCAAACAATGAGAACACCTAAACAGGCAGCTTGCCCTGGATGGGATGCTCCATGGGTGTGTGCAAGTACAACCCTGGGGTTTGGTCCAGCCACTTCTACCCCAGGGACTTTCAGTCATGAGTGCACGTGTTTCTCAAGCTGCTTGTGACACCAGTTACCATCCACCTGCAATGGTGAATAAAACTCTCCAACATCCAAACCAGCTCCTCTACTCCAAAGACATGTTTTTGCAATGCTTCCCTCTCTCTTTTAATTTTTATTTTCTCTATAATACAGCACATATATATATAGGTATGTATGTATGTATGTATTATA